AGAGGGAGAGAGCCGTTTATTTTCATAGAATGCATTGAGAACGCTAGGAATACATTTGTGCAAGTCATGCATACAACTATGGTTGAATGCTGAAGTGCTCCAGAGCAGGGAGGAGAGGAAATCGGAGACATGGAAATCCAACTCATCAAAAAGTGCCAGTACGCGCTCGAACTTATCCTGCATAGACATAGTGCACGGCTGTTTCTGTCGCGTACGCCCGGTAACGAAGCGTGTGAGGCTGGACCGGTCGCGTGCGTCCTCACCGGAAAGGTATGTCACTCATAACGGTGGCGTTTGTTTACATGTGTTATCTGCCAGCGGTCGTGGAGGGCTCACAAAAAATAAGGTTCATAGAAGTTTACATAAGCATGTGATACGCGACGTCTAAATCAAGTAGTTGCTCGTGTTTCTCACATGGCGTCCTTTGCCCTAATAATAGTGAGCCCGAAACGATCGCTGGGTAGGAGCGTGGTATAATGGATGCTCGCAGCAGCCTTACGTAGACTCCGATGTCAAATCGGTGACCTCGTGCGCATGTACGAGTACGTAGATTCCGTGGAAAGCCTCACAGCCTTCACTTGCTAGTATGGCAGTCCCGACCACGACGGTAACAGATCAGCACGGAATTCGAGGGCACAGGAACCTACCTGGAGGAACGTCGGCGTGTTCGGTGTTCATGACATCGGCGACTCGACCCTTTTCGAGTCCCGGAATCGTTCAAATGAGTCTTGTCGTCGGTAGGCACGTTCAAACAGGTTCTAGGAATGCCTCGATGTTGTACGGGGAGGCTCGACAGCTTGAGTGGCAGTGTGCTACAGCCTACGGCAAGTACAGCGAAATCCCGTGGCCGAGTATTTGTCATGTCATGTCCGTACGTCTTGAATTATGGAAGAGGAACCCCACATTGTGTCTTCTTGGTCCACGAAAATGGTTGCAGCATCCAACCAGTAAGAGGGACGAGAGAGAGGCTGCGGCGCTCCAGAATCATTGAACAGCAGATACTTGCATCCATGATACTGGAGTAGCGGGCAAATACTGAGATCTACTTGAGGGGTGATCTTCGAGACTAACTGATGGTACGTGTAGGGACAGCCTGAGCATATACCTACCTATCGGCGATAAATAGGTATATGCCATGGATCCGCCACGAGCCGATCATGTCAGCCTTCTCTCTCGCGTTCCGTTCGCAAGCCTCAGGGGAGGATACACTGACTTGATGATCCGAAGACTGCTACGGGAGAAGATCTGCTGCCAGACTGCATGCGCCGTGCTTAGACGGTGAGGGGTTCTGCCGGTGGGCGAGTCCTACATTATTGAGGCTCGTTTGACACGGCTTTGAAGGGACGCGCGGATTTGAAGGGTCAAGCAGCCGACGAACGGTATGCGGTCGTCCGATAGCCCCACGAAAACGGAAGTTGGACTGCCACAGAGACGGGGCAGAAACACGTCGCCGCATAAAGGATTGAGATCGTCGCAAAGACGGGGTGGAAAGCGAGATCCAGAGAAAGCATCGATTCAGATGGTCCCAAGTCGCGCCCGACCAAAGACGTCCAGAGGATATTGAGGAGCCAACCACGATGATAGCGCAGTTCGGCAGTGGTTTGCAGTGGGAGGATAGACAGTATTAGGCACAGATTCGACCACTCCACATCACCCAGCAGCACGTCGATGGATGGGTTCAGCAGAGGTCGACCCATGACGGCGGCGGTCGAGGCTTCGAGGAAGGTCCGCGGTCACTTGCTGGAATGACTGTACTACCTAGAATTACGAGGAGCTGTCGACAGCGGGAGGTCAAGACATCGGCGTAAGGAGGAAGATCTTGCAGCTGTGCTAGCGGGTAAGGTGTCAGAGTTGTGGCAAAATGTGGCTGAAAGCAAGGTTGACATCGCCCGAGTTCCGACGAGCTCCCGAGCCCGGTTCCGAGGATAAATCAGTCCGCCGTGGTCTCCTTCAGCTTACTACGCTCACATTCCTTTCGAGTCTTGCTGGTACACCGCCGACCCGGGAAGCTGACCATGGAAGAGACGAATCACAAGTCGAATGTCGACTTGCTGATCAGAGAATACCAGGCGGTCGCACTCTCCCGAGCCCTCATATATACACGTCCCTGCCCTCTGCCCTTGTCCTCCGTTCTCTCGTCTAATCATACAAGCGTCTCTACTGCTCGAGGCTTCTAGTGCCGGCACCCGGAGGTTCGTAAGTATCTATCCTCGTCGTCCTCGGGGGAGGAAGGCCGCCACGTGCATGCGCGTCCGACTTTCCCTCGTAATTATAACGCACTGAGCTTCGTATCTGTCCTGATATACTCTCTGCTCTGTGATTGATGCTCGCCGGTCTGTGCAGTATAACTGAATCCTGCTACTTACACTCCGGGTCATTGATACGTACTCATGAATACACGACAGGCTCGTACTCGGCCCCGGCCCTGCGAGCACATGCTCTTGCTTCTGAGTCTCACATCTGCGAACGTTTCTGTGCGCTTCGATTTCGCAAACGTCACATCCTGCCAACCGGACGTTCTTGGGTCGCTCCCGCGCGTCCGTCGTGCGATATGGTTTACTTGCTTGCCCAGGCAGAAGCGAGCGTCCTCCGTCGTTCTCATCACATGTGACTTCGATATAAGCCCGTCTTCCCTCGTCGTCGGCCTCGGTTACCCCCTTCCCTCCCCCTCGCTCGTTGTTCCCTATCGCTGTCCTTGCTATGTACACCGCCCTCCTCCCAATCGTCCTCTTCCTCACGCTCGTCCTTCAAACCGCGTCGCGACCCATAGTCTACCAGTGCGTCCCCGTCGAAACGAGCGTCGACTACTTCGACCCGCGCCCCAATGGCGGGGCGATGCTCGACAACGCGGGCGACGGGTACGGCGAGCCACTCAACGTGCGCATCCATTCTCCTCTTTACTTTTTGCGACGGTGGAATGTGCCGAGGCTGAGTGGGTGTCCGTGTAGGTGATCGTGTCGGGGATGAGCTCGCCCGAGGTCCTGACGGAGGACGGGATCGTAAACTTCGCGCGCGCGATCGGGTTGTACGTGTCCCCTCGCCTGCTTGCTATCCTCTCCCCTCCCATCGCCTGACGCGCCCGCCAGCTCGGAAGAGTGCTTCGGCCTGCACGCGGGCGCGCCGCAGACGGCGAACCTGGGCGACGGCAACGGCTGGGTGAACCAGACGATCGAGCTGCGCCAGGACTACGACAACGCGGGCGTCGGGACGTGCTTGGAGACGCTCATCGGCGGGAATCACTTCAGGTGAGTGTATGCGTTCTGCACGGGTTGAAGGGGTGTAAGGACGAGGGGGGGGGGGGCGTGGGTGTGGGTGTGGGCAAGGAAGAGGATGCTGACGTATGATTGGATGCGGCAGGGTATGGAAGCAGAATGGCAGCTTGGCTGACAGCGGGGCACTCTTCCTTGCGTGAGTGCTGTATCACATGCAGCGTTTCCAGGTTTACTCATATTTGGTCCGTCCAGCGTCTCGAAGGAAGAGGTGAATATACCTCGTACACTCCATGCTTGTCGCCGGACGAAACTCACCCTGTGCGCGGTAGCCTTTGTTGGAACATCATACGATCATTCCCGATGGGTACAACATCGGCAGGTGCGTTTGGCTTCATCAGTGCTGACATCCCCGCGTGTTCGGTAATCGGTCACCGTCTTCTCCCGATGCGTAATCTGGTTTCTAGGGATCTGCTCGTCCAGAACGCAGTCGGCCAGACGAGCTACAACGGGGTGACCTACAGCACCGTGGCGCGGAACATCACGGGCCTCCTCGCGCCGGGTGCCGTTGGTGTCAATCACAGTAAGTCGTTTTCCTTTTCTCTCTGATGCTGTGGCTCACGCGGATCGTTTGCAGACATCTCGACAGATGGGATCGTGACCCTGTTGACTGTCACTATTCTATGATTATGATTGATCGAATCGGGCGACTAGGATTTGGTGGAGCATCCGCACGACCATTCACGACACTTACGACTCTAACGATGATCGGTCTCGGTATTTATCGTATTCTGTACGCCCCCGCGCTCTTTGTCATTTGCATTCGTTGCACGCAGATTCGGGTGAAATGCAAAAACAATTGCATTGTGTATTTGTTCTGCGGTCTGATAAGCTTTCCCGTCGCACGGTTATGATTGTGGCTTCGACTCTCACTCTCGCGTCCCGTTACGGCATGCCGGCTGCCACTTCGGACATCCACCTTGTCCTGCGTTCTCATACCGAACGTCTACTGACTTGATCTCGACACTTGCAGCACGGCCGGACTCGAGTTGTCATGCAATATGACGCACGGACGGCATATAGCCCTTCTAGGACCGTACATCTTCCCCGGTTCGGGGATGAAGTGGTATCAGGAAACGTGCGTCGTCCTCTTCTGATGCAGCACACGTCGTAACGCGCTCGTTATAGGGCGAACGGACGTGCCACCGCGTGGACACGGTACCGAGTGACCCTTGCAGGCTATCTTAAATAATGAGAAAATCGGAATGACCTGCGCCCGAGATGCCCGCCGCTTTGTGTCCGGGCTTGCGTGCATATGGCATATGCTCGACGCTTCGATTTCTGCCAACGTGCCTCCCCAGACACCCCCCGCGACTTCCGACGCTCTCACCACCCCGGCCTCCACGACGCTGCCGTCTATTTATGGCGACCGCGCCAGAGGTATAAATCCCGCCGACTGGTCTTTGCAATGCCCCAGTCCCGGCAGAGGCCGTCTGATTAGCATCCACCAGCACCAGCCATGTACTCCGCGCTCGTCCTCGCTATCGCCGCCGGCTGCGCTTCCGCGCTCACCCTGCAGAAGCGCGCCGTGGACTTCTACGCGCCCACGGCGGGCGGCGGGTCCGAGCTCGACAATGCGGGCGACGGGTACGGCGAGCCGCTGAACATCATCATCTCCGGCTTGAGCTCGCCCGCGGTGCTCACTGACGACGGGTTCATGAACTTTGCGCACGCGCTGGGGTAGTGAGTGCTATACGGTAGTCTAGCAAGGCGGGGAGCTGATGCGTTGCAGCTCGGAGGAGTGTCTCGATCTCCATGCGGGCGGCGCGCAGAGCGCAAATCTTGGCGACGGGAATGGGTGGGTGGACCAGCTTATTGAGATCCGCGAGGATTATGGGAGCACGGCGGTTGGTACCTGCCTCGAGAGTCTGGTCGGGGGGAACCATTTCCGGTACGTGTGTGCGGGGGAGGGGCCGCGGTTAGCTCGGAGGGCTCAGTTTCGCTTCCCTTCCAGAGTGTGGCGCCAGAATGGAAGCCTGGCGGATAGCGGGGCGTTATTCCTAGCGTATGTTATTTATGTTGCCTTTGCTCCTCGCCTAGCTCAGAACGGTGCTGTATTCTTCCAGAGTATCGAAGGAAGAGGTAGGCATAGCCATGCGGTGTTCGTCGTCGCGTATGTCTGAGCGGCACTGGGATGTCCATAGGACGTCTTCGAAAGCCACACGATCGTGCCGGACGGGTACGATATCGGGCGGTGAGCGAATTCACCTGTGCATATACCATATATCCGCACCTGACTGGCGCGCAGGAATCTCCTCGCCCAAGCGGCGGTAGGCACGACGAGCTACGGCGGGGTCACGTACAGCACGACCGCGCGGAACGTCACGGGGCTCATCGCGCCCGGCTCGGACGGGGTGAACCACGGTCAGTGATGAGTACTTTCGAGTGTGGGCATTGAGCTTATTATGTGGGGATGGAAGGGATCGCGCAGGATGGCATCGTGACCGTGTTGACGGTGGAGATCGTCTCGTGATGGGGCCCGGCCGGAGGTTTGTGCTTGTATAGCGTTGGTTATGTCGCTGTCGTTGTTTCTGAGGTATATCGACTATGGGTGTGGTCTAGGAGTCTCGAGATCATATCCCTTGGTCTCGGATTGGGCTCGATGAGTGATTTCCCTGGACTCTCGAACCAGCTCTCGGGTCACTTGTTCCCTCCTATGGACGGCTTTGGCGGGGTCTGCAATCCTATTATACACTGCAGCACCAAGTTCAGGATAATCCGGGTTTCTCGTTGATCCATAGTCGGTGGAATCCCAATCGTATTAGGCTCGGCGCTTTGCAGCTCTGGTTGCTCCCATTCTCCGTCGCAGAACAGTCTCAGTACTTTCCTCGCCGTTTTGCATCGATTGCAGACCATAGGTTTGATTGATATTGACCGGCGGGCCAGAACTTTTCATGCGACCTGGGGACGTTGTTGGATGTCCTTTGGAGACTCACAAACGGCATGGGTTCACGCGACGCTGCCCAGGATACGAGCGCGACGCTCTGATCACGATTTCTAGCAGCCTCCGTCTTTCGAAGGACGCCTGGTATGGGCGCCTATATAGCGGTTCTATTTTCGTTGATCCTCATTGTTTATTAATTTTAACTTGAACCGGTATCGAACCTCCATGGGTATTGTCGGGCGTCCTGGTCCTCATGAGTGAGACGCGTCGGTATCACGAGACCTGGGAATTATCATATGATTGGTGGACCGCTCCGTCTTGACTCCATCTGTGGCACCGATGTTCCTTGGATGTTACCCGCCTGACAGTGAAATATTCTGCGGCAAGAACGGTGTGTCTAGTCGATCTCCCGAATGAGCTCCTCGTTAGGTGTCTGTATTTCCTGGCCTACGTCGACCTTCTGGCATGCCGGTCCGTAGACCGCGTGCTCAAGGCGGTCGTGACAGGTCGAGTCTCCTACAATCGAGGTCGCCGAATAGCTCGCGGAATGCAACCTTCCAACGTCCGAGAAGCTGCGGCAGCTGAACGGGTGGCTCTATTTCAATGTGGCAAAGGTCAACCCCGTAGATGTCAAGCATCGCCCTTCCGGCATATACAGCTTCACCGGCGGCGTCTATCTGAATCTGCTTGGGGAGGCGCCACACCTGATGAAGGGCCTGCAGTACATCCGCCCGCCGTTCTTGGGGCTCGCGATACAAGAGCACGACTTGATTGCCGTGGCAACATGGCGAGTAGCACTAGTCTCTTGCACTCATTCGCTGCAGTAGCCTGGCTTGATTCTCGGAGCCTGGCGCTTTGCTTGGATTTCTCTCTTTGGACCGATCCTGACGTGCACTCAACGGCGTACCCTCTCCTCGATATCATGGAGTTCCTGTACACTTCGGAACCACCCACTAACTCTGCCGAGATATGTCCAGGGTAGCACTGCCAGCTCCCCCCGCTGCTCAGCCATCCACGCCCTCTGATTTGAACGTCGCGTGCCAATCTGCCGATATTCATACTTGACGCAGTGGACATAATCAAAGCTGAATTCCTGTCTCTGCGGGCACGGGGATACGATGACCGGACATATAGGATCTGGTGGACTCACCCGAGGCGCAACCTGGATGTGCTGAGTCCAAGAAGGCAGACGACTTTGGGGATTCTTTCGGTAGTGGGATCGAAGATCCGAACATGCTACCAGCTGCTAATCTTCCTCTTCGCTCGGCCAAAACGTCGTTCACTGATTTCGCACCACGGGAGCACGTCTGCTAGTCCTTAGACCGACCTTATGGACAGCGAGCAATTTCCACGCAACCCAGCGGACTCCTCAACCGCCCGTTATTGCTGCGCGCTGGGTACCGCGGCCCTTTTGGCCCAGGGGAGAAGACTGAACGGCTCACATCTAGATCAGGTGGCAGCCTGAATCCGAGAAGGTATGTTTGGCCTCTGCCTAGTTCATAAATGTAGCGCCTCGTCCATGCCGGGATGAGGTATGTGGGGATGCAGTGCGATCCGCGTCGAGGAAGTACGAGCTGATAGAGGACGAAGGATCAGTCACTTCGCAGGCACGGGGCCCTTCGGGCGATCCATCCAGCTGACGCAGTTGCCGTTGCATAAGAGTGCGAAGTAGGGACATAGTGAGGGCACAGCTCAAATCCAACGAGCCGCAGGCAAGTGGACGCAGCTTGATAGGCATTTGATTGACACCGAGCGCTCTGTGGCGTCCGACCTATCAAATAGAACTTCGATGCACAGTCGGCGGCGTCTATGGTCCAGCGCTCTTCATGGAGAAATGCTGAAACATTGCAACGGATCGTGTTATACTCAACGTCGGGGAAGAGTTGAGTGTCCAAAAATAACGTGAATCTGCAGGAGAGCCACGGGTAATGTGGATGAGCTTGTAAGTACCGCTTATTGGTACTGGATGACCTGTTGGCAGTTAACGGTACGTACAGTAAACAAATGGTAGTGCGCTCATGTTCCGAAGATAGATGAATGTGATGCGGGACACTCAGTCTACGTTGGACAGTTCACGATTTCACCTATCAGACAGAGTACATATACGCCCGGTGGCACAGGACAAAAGTGAAACTTGAGCAGGAAGGCAAGTGGTGGACGGAGCATGCGCACTGCCAGCCTTCGCGGGAAGACGAGCTTTGAAGTTCGCGTGGCGCGTGCCTGAGTACGACGCATCCATGATGATCGATGAAGCGTTGGAGGACAAGGAACGAGGAGTCGGACCTGGTAGCGCACAGCCTCTGCTGTGAACCTGACAATGCCATGCCATCGCCACGGGTGGAAACATATTGGACGGGGTGCTAGATGTACGCAGGTCAGACTAGGTCAGACGTCCAGGAAATTCCATGAGCAGTCGTTTCTCGAAACTCGAAGGGGCCGTGCTTTGAGTGCCGTACCTGAGGCCTGATCATTGTTAAAGACCCGGGAGCCCTAAACAAAAAGGAGGGCATTGGAAGGTGCCATCAGTGATTCGTGCCTCCAGTGGTGGGCGCATCGTTAGTCTATCAGGATCAATGGCTGCCTAGGTAAAATCCGAGAGCAGAAAGAAGATTGTTGTTCTCGGTTGCGCAAGTAGGAAGGGGGACGGAACTGAAGCTGCTCCGACGAACAAGGTCGTTACTTTACGACGTACACCATCGCCTATCGGGCTCCGCGGCTTCGCACAAATCGGCGGTGAATGGAAATAAGTAAGGCGCGAGGAAGCGTGCTCTGGGAACGATCTGGCCTCCTCCTGTATATGATCGACATCATGATGGCCATCATCTTTCGTTTTCAGGGCAAGAAGCCTGAAGCGCCTACCTTTGATATCTAGTTCATTATCCAGGAGGCGTGTGGCAACCGTCGAGAGAGGGTGGAGTACTATGAGCCAGACCCTTGTATCCGGATATACCAGGCGCATAGAGTGGACGCCGAGACATGGACCTGGTCCGAAATAAGACACGAACACCTCGGACGCGTGTCAGTGAGAGGTGAACTGCTCTACTCCTTTATGTCAACTCTTACGCCACAATGGTCAGAACGGCTCGAAGGCTCTAGCTCTCGGGAATACCACAGTCCGACATTACTCTATGGCCATGGATCCAGCACTCATACATACTTACGAATTGTCTCGTAATCCCAGAATCACGCTGCCACGCTACATACACAGCATCCCGGAGACAATCGCTAGTGCGATTGGCTATCCCCGAATATTCGTCTATCAGACTAAGCGAGTAAGATCGTGACCGGTAGAGTAGATCTGTGCCCAATATACTTGCCACAGGATTTGTGTGGGTAAATGAAAGCACTATGATATATATTGAACGAATCGCGAGATGGATACACGGGTATTAGGACGACTGTAGACTACGACGGGGGAAAGATACACTTGTCTAGCACTATATATACAAGCAATTAACAGCGAAGAGAGCGACGAGATCATAAATAAGCCGGAATGAAAGTGGACTCCTTCATAAGGAGGGACTCGAGTTCCCCACTTGTCAAGAAGCACGACTTCACGCCCGATTTCTGGTAGGGGACCTTGGTATCAACTTGATACATGTCAAGCCCTGTCTGAGTTAATTGGTTGAGTATCGAAACAACGCAGCCACATTAATAGACGCACAGGCAGCAGAGGTAGAAGATGACGCCGCCATCTGTAACTGCCAGACGCTAGACCACGTCATCTGAAGGCGCTGCTTCTCTCGTTGGCTGGTCGCGAGCATTTCTAAGGTTTGTGCGTCGGATAGCCCAAGGTCTATGGCCATCCGCATTGACATCTTCACAAGACGATAAGTCGAAGAACCAAAGTAGTGGTGGAGAAGATACTCACGTCGGCGTAGTGCACGTATCCCGCAGTCTGTCCTCTTCTGTACTCCGACAACGACAGCAGCATGAGGGCATGGAGGGTATCGAGAGATCCAACGGATAGGATCGACCGGAGGTTACTCTGCAGGCTGGTCAGACATGCTGACGGGTGATGCTACATGACACTTACTTTGGCATTGGCACTGTACTCGTCCGCTACCGCGCGCAGGTCCCTGGAGTGCAGTTGAGGCAAGTTCGAATAGCGAACCGCTAAACTCGCTATGGAGTTCGCGAGGGTCGCTGGGAGGCTCTGCTGGTAAAATCGAGAGAGTACGTCGTTTTTCGAGAGGAACGGGCATTGGCCACCGAAGTTTTCGAAGAACAGAGAAACGAAATGCGGCATCAGGGCGAAGCTGGGGTAAGCAGGGTATGTGGGTTCGAAGAGGTCGACTTCTGAGAGGTTTACATGGAGGTTGACGTTGGCAGGCTGTAAGGGTAATGCGGGTGCTGCGGGCGAATAGCTAGGAGATACGGTGTTTATATCGGCGGGGTAGTTCCAGAGGTTATTAGTGACTTGGCTAGAATAAGATACAGAGGCTGGACGAGGGCTACCGGACACCGGCAGTCAGAATCAACTTCCCATTCGTCAACCATGGTAAACACTCACAGATATTGTTGCTCATGATAATATTCTTTTGGTTCCGACGAGTGACGACCGCTATCCTTCAGAGTCAAGTAGTCCATCGGCGGTGTCGAGGCCGTAGAGCCGGGAGTCCTAGGCGTCGGATCGGAATGACGAGAATAAATTGAGGATGTGGGGCTGTCGTCTATGCGTCCAGGACGTGCATATGGAGATGTTCGACGTTCTCGTTCAAGCTGGGCCGCGGAGGGAGTCGTCGGTCTGCGACTGGTGTTGGAGGGGGAGCCAACACTAGAACCGGCGATGAGACGACTCCGTTCCTGGAAGTATCGCTCCCGGTCGCGGAACTCGCAAGCGCAGTTGCCGGCGGTGCAAGCTTCACATCTGTCGCTAGTGGCACTCTTGACGCAACGGATTTTCTTGATGCGACTAGGGCACTCATCAGTGTTTATTCATGCAAGGATCCCAATCGGTCCTACCAGTTATCGCAAGCGGTGACAAGACGCGGACGCTTCCGGTGCGCCTGCTGCTGCTGGGGTGATTCATGGACGAAACGGAAGTCCTCCATTGTAGTGATAGAATTGATGACAGAGGAAAGAGGTCAAAGAGAGTGATGACGACTTACGCCGCAGTCTGGGTGGCATTATATACATATGATCGAGAATGGGCGGTACAGAAGGCTTCGCGCCATCGCCGTGCAGATCTGGCCCTGCTAGATCTTGAGGTCCTGTAAGCTACCTTCTTCTTGACAAACACAGCCGCAGGGCGGCCACTGGCCGAGAAACCCAGAGCCAGTGTTCGTGCCACGAAAATATCTCGCAGCCTCCGAGCTTCACGGGGCCATTGCGAGGAAGCCAAAAGAGGGATCAGATTCACTGGGTGCTTTCCTTGACGTAATCTTCCCCTGGCGCTCTAACCACACCAGCAGGTTCGACCGGTCAAGTCAGCTGGCCAAGCTGACAAAAGTTGCCCACCTATCACTCAAAAACCTTACCATGACTAGTGTAGGCTTCGGCCGAGCCCTCGACTGAGTAAGACGATTCATCATCCAATACGCGCCAATGCAGCGATACAGAAAGTGGCTCAAGTAGCGCCCGCATTTTGATTGACTAGGTAGGTAGGCGTGGGCGTCTAAAGGAAGTTTGACAGATTTTCGTCGTATCGATATCAAGGCACTGCACAACCAACCCAGAAACGGTGCCACCTTTCCCGAAACATGTGTTAGATGGCTGTTCCAAAGTGCCTATCCTCCAGCCAGCCGCAGACTGTACTCACCGCATCTCTCGAGTAAATTCCGAAATTCTCCAAAGATATCTGAGAGCGCCGAGGAAACGCGTCGCTGATGGCGAGTCAGGGTCAGATTGCCGAAAGGAGCGATGGTATCCGCGAAAAGAACCCGTGTCAAGATAAACATGTGGCTCCCACGTGAAACACGTGGACCCCCTTGACGATCAATCACAGGCAGGCCCAATTACCTTTGTCCCAGCACAACGGTCGACTTGCGTAGAGCGCCTGTACGGCGCCATCAGCCGACATTGCAACAGCGCGGGATTCCCATAAAAGGTGCTCAAATCGACACGGCAGCGGATCAGTCCGCACAGGAGAGAGACATGGCGGAGCATTTCTGACATCCCGGAGCAATCCAACGAGATATCGTAGCGGTCAGCGGTCCCTCGAACATACTCTAGTCGTGATAGCGTCGTTCTCTTACAGGCCGTCGGCAGGCGAAACCAGCCGAGTCCACTCAACCCATTTCACAATGCTTCTGGGGAGAATTCCGAAATGTTCAGACACTTTATTTTAGTCGATATCGACCCTACCCGGCGAATGGCGGACCATGCTAGGCGTGGGCACGACGCCCATCTCCGCCGCTGCTGTCCTCGCCAGCCCATGGGTCGTCGAAGTCAGAGGAGCCACGAAATAGACTACTCGTTATTGTATCTCCCCGATCATTTCTCATGCTGACCCTGTCGTCCCTGTCTGCCTTGAGGATTTTCGAGGAACGTACGCTTCGCAATTCCTCTGCATCCTGTTCATCATCCGAACCAACCGAGAATAGTAGCCGCGAGCTATCGGGCATCGCGTTCGCTTCCTAGAGATTACATTTTAGCTCGTCGCAGGAGGGTTGTTGGCAAAGCATGCCACGGCATGCCACGCAAGATGCGGGTCATCGGGACTGCGGAGCGCAGAATTCCGAATAATTCGGTGGTGCAGTGTTAAGAGAATGACATACCGCAGGATGCTCGTGACTACTTCTGGCAGCGTGATCAGCGCCGTGCAGCATATCTTGGCTAGGGCGCAGAAGACCGACTCGCCCTTCATCGGTTTCTACGTCGTCCTCTTCTATTGGATTGCCGTGCGCATCCACAGGGACGGTGGACTCGATCGATTTCCTATACCTGTGGAAGGTAAACAGAATGATGCCTTTCGCAGATCATTAGAGCAGGACGCTGGGAAACCTGCGGGCGCGTACCGCAGACGGTAATCGCCACGCCGGTGATATTCAAGGGCGTGAGTTCGTCTCCGAATAACCAGGCTGATATCGAGATCGTCGTGACTTCTTTCGCGATGCCGGCTATTGACATAGGGAGCATGCCGGCCCTCTGCAGTATACTGCATGAACAGTTGAGCGGGACGCAAAGCAATTTTTTCCGGCGGCAAGACTCACTAAAATTCACTCAAGACCATGCAGAAGGCCAGTACGCCCGGGAAAATAAGATATAGCACGGTGTAAATCGTCGCTCCCAGTCCGTCAAAGAACGGAGTGGAGAAGACCGGCCACCACTGCTCGATGACCGCACTGACAACCAGCAACGTGATCCCCATGACCGGGGACAACCAAAAGATAGTCGCGGCTGGATTATCCATACCCATTTTCTTGTTCTTTAGCAATATTTGCGTCAGACTCCACCGTAGGCCTCCCAGAGCGCTAGCGGAGATAACGAGCAAGAAGCCGCCCAGAACGAAGTGCGTCTCGGTCGCGACCATGAGGACGACTCCGGCGACGATAAGGAGGATGACACCAATTAAACGCCAGGAAAAGCGCTCGAGCCGGAAGAGAAAGGCGAATATAAGTACAAATATTAGCGAGGATGATTTGCACATAGCTAAGTGGTATGTATGAATAAGTCCGTCAGAGCAGAGTGCATAGGACGTACTGTAAAACGATAATGTCACTGTTTTCAAAGATAAGTTAGAGAATCCGATGTCTAGTCCTGTTGTCATAGCGCATGGTACGGCCTTACGACTGACACAGTGAACATCAGCATTGAAATAGAGGGCGTCATTTGAGATTAAAGAGCATCCCGAGCCGCAGACTGCCCGAACGACGAACCTCCAGAAGCAGTACCTGGAGAGAACATCGAATGAGATGGATCCACGTACCCATAATCTTCCTTGTTGGGGGAGAGAGCGGGCTTAAATCGTTCTGGAAAGAAATGCCGGAGGCAGGCGGCCAGCCCAAATTGAATGAACATGTGGAATGTTGTAACGAACATGGGGTATGGAAAGCCGAAGTGATCAGGAGAGAACATCCATTTATTATAGACAGACAGTAGCGTGGCGAACAAGAACCTGTCAAAGGGTCGTAGTGTAGTGCAATCCATCTCAGTACTTGACCCCTCTATGGAGGACTAGTATAGGACGCACCAAGACCCTATGAAGATCACATTAATGACCGCGTTCCTCCACCACAAGCGTCGCTTTTCCTCCGTGCTGGCAAGATGAACGTCCGCTGCCGTTTGGGAACCAGTCTCAACATTTCCGCTTGCGTGGACGTCGGGTTGCACGTCGTCAGAGTATGAGGATTCGACGCCCGGAGCCAGGGAGTAGCCGTTCTGGGATGCATGAGGTTGTATCATAGGGTCAGCATGAAGAGTAGGGCGTGGGAATGACTACACTTCCGGTAACTACACGAGTGCCTTGTTCTCCGGTATCGTCTCAGTCGCACCTCCTACCTGCAGCCCACCTCGCGATACTCATTTCCCCACAACAGCGATAATATTGTCGTCTTGCACCGAAATCACCGTGCGACATGGTTCCGCGCCCTTCATCATACGAAAACGTCGGATGTTCACCCGCCCAGGCTAACTCTTTCGAGAAATGCATCCGAGGAAAAAGGATGATCTCCGTACCTGAGGATGAATCTTCTACCATCGAAGTCCTGATCATACCGAGTGGTGTTTTGAAGGCGTAGTAACCATCGATTTTGAAACAATCAGAAGTGTATCACCTGGTCCATGAAGCAAGGTCGTCGACGCGACGAGCCTGCAGGAAATCCATTTCATACTTCTTGCTAGGTCTTGTGTTCGTATATGGTCGAAATACTATGGTATGAGCAACTCGTCATCCAATGTCGGAAACTCGCGTGGCACACAGATGCTCACGAATTTTTAGGTACCGTTCCCCACTCTCTTCACCAGACGATGCGGGACTGGCACTATGCCGCAGGAAACAGTACCACGGACTGTCCCTTTACGGTACTTGTCAATGATCAACCGGATTTATCAGGGCTTGGCGCGAGTCGTCACGGAATGGCACTCCCGTGGGTTCCTCGGACTCACCGCGAACTAGTGGCGAAAGGGGTCCCCCGGTTGGGAACATGTAGTACGTTCAAACGGTTTGTTCGGGTATGTCGCTCAACAGTATCGCAACAGTGTCCATCCTGCACGTGGTAATCGCGAAGGGCAGCAGTGCATCTAGCTCAGGGCTGATTTGCACCACCGTATTGGCGACCATGACAGGCAATCTCAATTGTCCAGTGAACAGGTAAATCTCCGGTTTGGTACAAGTTTAGGCCGAAGTGGCCCCGAAAGAGGCGCAATGCTGTTACATTGCGTGCGGCAAGACAAGCTTGTCAGAGCCTCGCATTCGGGTAGCTTCGGGTTGTCTATAGGTGAGTGGTTTGCATCGAAGGGAGGAGATAGCGTAAAGGTCGACTTGTTATGACGGTATTTGCTAACGAGAACAGAGACGCTCTCAGAATACGCGTGTCGAGCGGTATTAGGACGGAACCAAAGCACATCTCGTGTCGAGCACTGTCAGCGGTTTCGACTTCAGAGCCCGAGTACAGTCGAAGTAACCCCAAGCCCATGCGCATCTCTTCTCTTCGGCATCCTAGGGACCAGGCCGCAGGCTCGTCATGGTCACCTCAGTCAGGGACGTTACTCTATGGAATCTCCTCACTCCCTCGAGCTCTCTGCTTACCCGCAGCCATCTGAACATTCCGCCTGCGTCTTTCCAGGACAAGCAGGCAAGTCCACACGAAGTACATAAGCATTCCGGTATATTTGGCCAGATGATCGAGAGCTATTTTAGACTCAACTTAGACTGAGCCCCGAGCCTGGCACGCGCTCGGTGCCAAAGCTGCTTTTAGGAGATACCGACTCGACGAGACTGGGAGCAACCCCGCACCACGAGGATCCGGATCCCTCTATGCGAGCCCATCCATCACTCGGAGTCTGTTGATACTGATATGTGGCACAGTATGCCGTAGGCTCTTGTAGGCTGCTATTCGAGACGACCCCGGAGCTTGCAAGCTCACGAGCTTGGTCTCTCGCCTCTAGCTGCCGGCTCAACAATGTCTTGGTTTCACCACTACATATTGCCCTCTGCTTGGTTGTGCGCCCTCCGGTCCTTGTAAGGCATTTGGCGGCCTTTTCGACCTCCCGAGCTTCCGCTACAAAATCCTGTGCTGCTTCTCCCGCGATCTTTGGCTGACTACACATTGATTACGGAACCCGGCGAGTTCGCTCGTACTGGAGGACTCGGGACGAGTCGAAGAAACCTTCTGCTCAAGTCTCTTTTGTCCCCCTCGAGAGACGAGGGTATCTCCTTGTAGACTCCCACCCCACTCGGGACGTGCCATCCCGCGAAAGCATGAATGGAAGTACCTGAAAATTTGGTGCGCGCTTCGTTCCTTGTGCAGATTCATTTAGACCAATAGCTGTAAGCTCCCTCATGACGCCTGCTTCCATCTGCGCTCGGGTTACATGGGCATCCTAGCAGAGTGTCCGATATCCCGATACCATACTTCTCCGACTGGTACCCTCTTACGACTTAGATAGTACGTTTCTTCTATAGCACGCTGGTATGTGTGATGAAACCGCCAAGCTAGGCCCGCGGGTTCCGAGGGTGGGCTTTTCATAGCGGCTCTGCATCTCTCTAAGTATCAATGGATTCACAAGGTTTGATGGTGATGCTTCCTTCCAAATCCTGACACAGCAATTAAAATGTACCGCGGCTTATCCGGCGCATTAAGCATGTAAGTTCTCGAATTTCACCGAGACCACGAAGCTGACGTGCCAGGGCTGGATCACGTGTATATTGACTATCACTTATTTTGTATCGCAACAATGTGGAATCTAGAAGTGCGATAATGGATCCGTACGTTCTGAGATTTGTCCATATAACTTCTCCTCCGTGATCCGCCTTTCAATGCACCTTGCAACTTGAACTTCCCTGACAAAGCGACAGGATGTGTAATACGTGCTCTGATTGTGTATGAGACCCACTTTTCTACAGCGGCGGGACCCTTGCAGCTGCGAACAGTTACGGCAAATCACTCAGCAAGACATGACGGCGGTCATTGGCAGAGGACTTCCAATATTTTCATACCAATGTTAGCAGTTGACTACGCGTTCTGTTGCTGGTAACGGCTCAAACTTTCCCCGCAGGTTCAGCTCCTTCCGTCCCGGAACCTCCCCAGTGAAAGGCTCATTTCATTTGCTACAGTAAGGCAGGGAAATGCAAGGCTTTAACCATATTGGATTGTACTACAGGCGATCAACATGGCAAGATACCGGGCGAGAAATATTCCCCTGTACCAGTTCATTGCGTTGCGGATCGTCAGTATTATCCATCTCCTCTAAGGAGCGAGGTGAGCGGCTTGGGATAAGCACAATAGCTGGAACTCGCAAGTTGTAAAACGGTACACCTGCCATGTTCCTCAAGCGATGATCTCTGCGGAGCTCGTGATAGGACAGCAATTCGGCTCTCGAGTTGCCGAACAGCCAGCTGAGCCTGGCGATCCTCGAAGCTTTAGTGGACCGTCTCCGGCCATGTCCGTATTGTGGGTGCGTATCTCTTCGCCCGTATACATTCACTGGGTGCAATTCCCATATTGAGCCACTGAGAAAGTGTGAAAGAAACCGGACAAAGGTCAAATTTTGTTCATAGTGTTGCCTTGCAAAACAAATGAAGGCTCAATGAATAGTGCTGAACAAAGAACATATCCTGTGCCACAATCAGATTCTTGCACACTCAAAAGTAGTATTATTCTAGTTCGGTTCACCAATTGTGCAATGGACAATCATGAAAAAAGTTTGACCTTTGACCCGTTAATTTCACAGTTTTCTCCATGCTCAATATGGGTGATGTACCCAGTGATTGTGGCATTCGTCACCCGTTGTTTTCGGCTCACCCGTTGTGTTCGGGCTACATAACTGTAGCTCGCGCTTCTTCCGCATGCCATACCTACGCTGACGAGATCCACTTTACTAGTACTACCTGCATTCAGGAAGATGCCGCGGAATAGATGGCATGTTGCTCGACCTCTGCTTTATCGATCGTTTCGTCTAAGCTTCCGACCCGCGTATCAAGTCTAGCTTCTGAACTATTCTCAATGGGCGCCAGCGTGTCTGTGGACTCGAAGCAATGTCATACAGCCCCCAAATCCGTCGCTCGATGGCGAAGCTCGTCCGTTCCCCGAGCAATTGAAGTGCTTTTGGCGCGTCTCGACAGACCTCTCCGAAAAGGAGGAGTTCATGCTGTGAAAAGAAGGACATTTGCCGAAACACCTGGCCTGCTGAAAACACGCTTCCACTAGGGCGAGCAGATCTTCAAAAGGCTCGGCATCATGACTCCGCTGCGCGATCACGAAGTGGGGGCTGATCATTAAGAGAGCGAGAACGCCCGGTCCTCAGATCCTCCTTGTAGGCGATTTCGCCTCATCCATGGCTTGATACCCTGATACGCCATGCCTTCCAAATCGCGGCGGGCATGTCCAATCTCAACAAGCTCGCCCTTGCCGTAAAATGCGCTGGCCCGGGAGGAAGTAAGGTCACAGACAGTCTCTGAAAATTTTCTCAGTGACGCATGGTAAGAATGTCAGAGCACGACAAGCAAAGTAGGGGAAATTTGTGTATGACACCATTCACCCCTTATCTCGATGGGTCACCTATTCGAAGGCGCCAGGACGCGTATTGGGCGCGGGTCTATCGTCGGCGAAAAGGCCTCCTGTACTGGCAACTAAGGAGACACCAATGACTTTGTCCCTTTCTTTCATTTCCTTGGCCGTCACTGACCGAAATCAGGTTCTCGTCGCAATACCTCAGCCACCGACGGGGCAATCGGCTCGAGGAAGGCCAAGCATTGCGATACGAGATGGCGGGGCCCGAATCCTGTCCCCACCTAGACAGCCCAGGTCCCAGGCCTAATTAGGCTGGCTCATCTGCCCTCCGGTCAAGCCTAACAAGGCTCAGAATTGCTCGCTGAGTGACACCAGCGGTCGTACCGGGGATGGCGGCTGTCTTAGTACAACTAGTATACTATGTATTAGTACTATAATATAGAGTCTTGCTTGAAGCCGCCGCCTCCGTCGTCTGGCGTCGTCGGCGCTTGCCGGTCCTGCCTAATCAGGCAATCGGAGCGCCCCCCGCCGCCCTCCCCGACGTCGTTAGTGACAGCGTGCCACAGCGTCACTGTAGTGGGATAAAATTGTACTATATATTAGCTCGTGTAGCGTACATATAGAGCGACCGAGCGCCGCCGGAGCGACGCGGAATGATATGGTGGTTGTCGCCCGCCACTCTCCTCATCGTTGGTGGCGGCGGGGGGCAGCCTGTCGTATACGGGTCCAGTC